CTGTAGGAAGCACGCACCATCACCAGCCTCCTGCTCGGCACACACACATTGTCCCTTTGACCTTGCCTTCCCCAGCGAGTGCCTGCACTTGGGCAATTACAAAAATTCCAAAACACTCTGTTGCACATGCATCTGGCCCTGGGGAACGGGTGGAAAAACAAACAACACATGACAGATGTTAGTCATGTCGCTTAATGCATGACTGAAAGGCAGTCCAATAGCATGGTGAGGAATGAAGAATGGAGAGAAGAAGAGAGAGAAGGAGACAGAGAGGAGTGAGAAGAGCAGAGGAGAGAAAAGAAGAGAAGAAAAGAAGAGAGAAGAGGAAAGAGGGAAGGGGGAACAGAGACGACCTTCTGTGTGTATATTTGGAGAGACTATTCCTGCAGTGCTGTCTGAGGTTGGATGCACATCTCCCCTGTGCACCCATGGGCACAAGAGCAAGCCTCATGACACAGGAAGTCCATCAGATCATTTGAATCCAGGCACCTTAACCAAATATCATTTGCACAACAACTGAAAACCACTCAGATGCCTACAAACAAACCACATGTTCCTGCAGTAGTCTACAAACCATCTCCTACACAGAAAACCCAAAGAAGATCACCAGAAATAAAGCAACTTGATTAACCGTGTCAGGCAGATGCCCTGGGGACTTGCACGGGCTGACTGATGCAGGAGGAGGCAGGGTCTGGAAAGAGCTTGTTGCATCCCCGCCAACCAACAAATGCCACACAGAGCAGGTTGGACAATGCAGGGAGGGGAGAGAGGGACATATCTACAGTTGGTTTCTCTTCGAGAAGCCAATTTGCATGGCTTTGCTGTGCATTTTGAAGGCTGTTTACCAGCCCAGGCTTTGTCTTCACTGAAATGTGTGCAGCATTTCTAACGAGGCACATGCAAACTGGAGCTCCCGAGAGGCTTTGCGGCAGAACCGATTGCAAAAGATTAGCACCAGGGCTTAAGAAAGCGAGAGAGAAGAGAAAGTAATGAAACAAAATCTCTCTTTCTTTTCCTCAGTTGAGGAATGATGGGGGCTAATTGCTTGTCACTGGTGAGAAAGAGGAGAGAGCAGCTTCTGCACCCATCAATAAATTAACCCCAACATGTGACATCTGAAATGCATTCATTTCCAGAGACGTTTATCTCTTTGTCTCCTCTCCTGGGTGAAAACATAATTATTGTTTAAACATGAGTTAATTCAGCAAGGTGAAGATCAATAAAGCAGAATTACTCTGCTTTTAAAAGCAGAGAAATCTCAATCTGGGACAGATGTGGACATAACTCTGGGAGAGCTGACAGATGAGGAAGACGCTTTGGTCATGGCAGGAGCCTGAGGAAGCAGAGCTCCCTCTTCCCAGGACTGCTGTAGCCCTTGGGTCTACTGGTAACAGCTAAGTCTAGCCATGGGCAGTCATGGCAATGAATAGAATAGACCTGAAATCACCCATGTACGTAGACTTTATGGGCTGATACACGGTTAGGCATCTCCACCATGTACACACTTCCCATGTAAGCAGCTTTGGCAAAGCCCCAAGGATCATGCTGTGGCCTCTCCCTTTCCTCTGAAGGTGCCCAAGCCCTGCTGAGGAGAGGGTCTCTGCATGGCAGGGACTCCCACCAGCGCTGCTCTCTCATGACAGAGCCCTTGGACAACCAAAGGTGCAAGCGTTGCAGCAGGCAGCATTGCTTCTGTGCTCCGCTGAGCTTTCCCCCATCGCCTTCCTCTACTCCAAAACACATCGGCAGCAACTACTGCCTGGAGGAGGAAATACAGGAAGGAAAACCGAGCTGCCCATGATAACAGGGAGGGGACCGGGCTCTGCTGTGTGGTCTTCAGCCAGTTCTGCCTCATCTGTCCCCTCTCATTACTTCTTGCAGCTCATGTCCATCCTTCCATGCTGGCAGGGAGCTCTGCGGATGGTGACAGCCCCTGGCTGTCCAGGGCAATGCCCGTCTCTGGGGGCAGGCTGACCCCCATCCAGCAGCCCTGTCTGAAGATGGTTTACTTTTAGTGCTTACCCATGCGCCGGGAGGGACATCCCTGGACCACTTGTTCAGCGAGTCTGGCAGGAAGGCCAAACACCACCCTACACCAAGCTGCTCTGGCAGCTACGCCCTGCAAGCCTCACCTCTGTTTTCCCTCCTTCCAATTTCACCCAGCGCACCCTCTTTTCTTTTTCTAAATTCCACACC